CGAGCGCTCCACTCTTACGACGGAGGAGTACACGACACGGCGGCCCAGTGAACTGTAACTTGTACTATATAGTACTATAGTTTTGCTATTTCGCATGATCCATCGATACAAACCCGATTAAACATGAAAGGGTAGGATTTTTCCCGCGCGGTAGATGATACTGGCCATACATTTCAAAGGCAATCACTGGTGCGCGTCGGTCCTAAACAAACGGTTTTTACCCCTTTCCGCGACGGCATTTGGAACCGTCGCCAAGTGAGTGTGTGCGATAGGGTGTCCTTCCCACACGACCCAGAAATCATCGGGGATAGGCCCTCCTGGGACCCAGGCTGGGGCCGTGTACGATCGGGCGAGGCATCGAAACCCAATCATTTCTGTATGTATGTACATCCCACACGGTGAATCCCCAAAACCATTTCCGCAGGTATGTACATCCCACACGGTGAATCCCAAAAATCATTTCCGTAGGTATGTACATCGCACACGGTGAATCCCAGAAAAAATTTTCCGTTCGTATGTATATCACACCCAGTCAATCCAAGGAATACGTTTCCGTTCTTACATACATCCCACACAGTCAATCCAGGGAAAACATTTCCGTTTGGATGTACATCCGACACGGTTTTATGTATATGCTCGTGTGTGAAAGGTGTAACTATCACACATGCTCTGCATTGGTTAACTGTTTGCTTTCATTAACTACATCACACACGATTTGATGTAGAAAACTGTGTGGCATTGGGCTATCCATCGCAAGCACTTTTACTGCTAGAACTGTTTGCAAAGGTCCATGACCATCTGGTCTATTTTTATTTTTGCTTGTAATTTATTATTCTAATTGGAAATTTTGAAATACGAAACATTCAATTCAAATTCTCAGCACAATGGTTCAACAGCGAATCCATAAATAAAATTGCCAGTACAATATGTTTGGTAATTACAGGATTAGGCAACAATTAACTATGACGAACCACAATATTTAAAGGCGGTAAAGGTGAAGAGACAAGTGTAAATCATTTTGACTGCCGACGGTGTTGAAGAAGAGGAATGCCCATAATGTGCCTTCCTACATGCCATCGGCACGAACCACTTTTGTCCAACCCCTTGTGATGATCGCCCGCCCATCCTCCACCGCCTTGAGGAAGACTTCTAGAGCATTATCATGGTAGCATGAATTATATACTTTAACCTTAGTTGCCTCCACTCCGGTCATGTAGTTTGCAAGGTAATCATCAGTAAATATCTTCAGAAACCACTGAAAAGAGAAAAATATCAGATACTGAGGTCTAATAGAGTAACTTGTTGTGGGCAGGGGGAAAAGGCAACACATTACTTACCATCCTAAAGTTCACTGTTGTCTTCGACAAAGTGTAAATAAAGAGCTTAATTCCAATCACCCATTTCTTTCGCCTAACAATCTTTCTTAGTTTCCTCACTTGACGCTTGTTCATGAATATCTCATTGCCCCATGCGCAAAAGGGATCGAAGCGTGGATCAGTACCCCTCATATATGTACCGACAAGCAACCAATAAATGTTAGAAGGTAAACTGAGATTGCACAAATGATGTAAAATACAACTACCTATGTTCCTAAGTACAAGTATTTTTTTTGAGATTTCAATATGAACTACATACGAATGTATATAGAATTATAGATATAGTTTTGATTAGAATCTAGATTCACTCATTTTGCTCCTTATGTAGTCTATATTGGAATCTCTAAAAATACTTATATTTAGGAATAGATGGTGTATAATACATGGGATGCATCTAACCTCGACGGAAAACAACAACATTGCCCATTGTAGCCCTGTGTAAGTACATGGAAAGCCAATGTTAAGTACAACAGGGTTAACATCCACCAAAAATAGCAAATGGTAATAAAACGGCAGCATCTGTAGTGATATCTTCATTTTGAAAGAGTAGCACGGTAGCAAAGGGACGGATTAAAAATGGATACAACTATTAATTACAACAGGTTTAAGAACATCCTAATTCATGTTTTGTAAGTTTGTATCCATTGAAATATAACTCTTTCAAAATGGATACAACTGTTAATTGCAACAGGCTTAATAGACATTGAAACTGGTACTGATAAAAATGCAATTGGCATAGTTAAACATCACAAGGAAGGTGCTGCCAGAGCAGAGAATGTCCCAGATGTCTATAAAAAGGTAGGTAAAGTAGCAAAAACATGTTAGGCATGTTTACTAGAACATGCTTAATACATCGACCGTACAGAACATAGCCATTAATTGCAACTAGTATTGGTAAGATTGAACTGGTGAGTACATACTTGGTATGTCCTAAGAGGTAGTTACTGGGGCACTTCATCTTGGCCAGAGCTCACCCAAAGTTAGCGATGGCGGAGGCGAGCTGTTCCTCCGGGTCGAAGCATGGATCAGTGCCACTGACATGTGTACCTACAGGCAACCAGTAAATGGGTAGAAGTTAAACTGCAATTGCACAAATTATATGAAATACTCTAAGACATGGGATGTAGCTCACCTCGACGGCAAACAAGAGCATCGGCTGTTATGACCCTACGTAAGTACATGGACAAGCATGTTAAGTGCAACAGGGTTAGCATCCACTAAAAGTAGCAAAAGGGCAGCATAGTGATATCCTGAGTCATGTATTGTAAGTTCGTTGCTGGTATTGGTGAAACTGAGATGGACACAGTAATATTTGAACATCACACAGTGTGTAGTACTGAAATAAACAAGGCACGAACATGCTTAATACATCAACCGTACAAATCATAGCCGTTGCAAGTGGTATTGGTAAGATTTAGGTGGTCAGATCTTACCTGTTAAGTCCCGGGGGGTAGTCGTTGGGGGACTTCATCTGGGCCAGAGCCTGCACCATGTCGGTGGTGGCGACGGAGGCGAGGTGTTCCTCCGGGTCAACACGCACAGCGGCCATCGCGCCATGGACCGCCATCAGCTCCTG